ATACTTTCGCAAACTTCCATCATGGCATCACGTCGGCAGGGCATTGCCGGTAAGTGTAGACATTTCTAGAGAATATGTTGTGAATATTTCACATTTTAGGATATTTCCATATGCATTCTACTCCCATAAGAATAGCGTAGTCAGTGCTGTGAGAGACACTATTTAAAAAATTGGTTTTAAGTCATCCAGCTTGATGCAAATATCTATGTCCAATACAGTGGACAGAAGGTCTCAAGTGCCATTGAAAACAGACGTGTACGTCATGCAGTCATTCTCGCTAAACCTAGCCAAAACGCATATTCTATTGATTTCTTTGTCCTCATTTCATACCTCAAATCATTTGCATGATCCAAGCATTCGTCAGCAGCACATATTACTGATCTTATTGCCATGGTGAAGAGTCAGAATTTGAGGACCTTGAGAGTGACGATGAGGTGCCTGAAGACGTTGAGCCAAATGTCACTCTTGGTAGGTATGCCAACATTTATTTTGTTGTGAGATATTTCTTTGTTTTCATTTATATTTTATGGAACGTAGGCCAGACACTAGACCAACCAGCAACAGAAAATGAAGATGTCGTAGATCCCGATTTTCAGCCTACTGCTATCTCTCAAACGAACGTCACCAAAAGGAAGAAATTTGATTGGCGTCGTCGTCCTTTTGAGGCGCCTCCCACAGCCTGGACCCCTCCTGAGCCCCCTAATGTTTCTCCTACACTGAAGCCAATCGAGTACTTCAGGAAGTACTTTACGCCTGAATTGTTTGAATTGTTGGTGGAGAACACTAACATCTACGCCCTTCAGAACAACGTTATAGGGTTCAAACCAACGAATATCTTCGAGATTCAAGCTCTTGTTGGTCTCCATTTCACCATTGGAAGCTTGAAGTTTCCACGCGTAAAGATGTTTTGGGACAGGGCCCTCCACGTCGGTCTTTTCCAAGAGACAATGACACGCAACCGTTTTTTTCAACTGAGGGCTAACCTTCATGTGGTCAACAACTTGGAAAGACCAGCTGACAATGAGGATGTCTTTTTCAAAGTACGTCCCATGTATGACTACATCCAGAAACGCTGCCAAGAGCTGCAACTGGAAGAGGAGCTGTGTGTCGATGAGCAGATGGTGCCCTTTAGGGGGGTCCTGTCTGTGAAGCAATACGTGAAGGGAAAACCAGATCCTTGGGGCGTGAAGATCTTTCTTCTCTGTGGGAAAAGTGGTCTCATATATGATTTCTTGATATATCAAGGAAGTAAAACGGAAATCTCTTCGGAGAACCTGAAAGCCTATGGTCTTGGGGCTGCTGTTGTGCTCCACCTCGCCGAGAGACTCTCAGCTCCACATCACAAACTGTACTTTGACAACTACTTCAGTACATACAGCCTATTTGAGATTCTACATGAGAAGCAGATCCACGCAACTGGAACTGCACGCGTGAACAGATTCGGCAGTATTCCCCTCAGAAGCGACAAAGACATGTCAAAAAAGGAAAGGGGTATCAGCGATCAAGTCACTAGCAGAGACGGCAAAGTAGTCCTCGTCAAATGGTTTGACAATCGGTCTGTCGTACTAGCCTCTAACTTTGTAGGGTTGGAAGAAGACGAAGTACAGCGCTGGGACAGAAAGGAAAAGACGTTCGTGAATATAAAGAGACCGGAAGTGGTAAAGAGATACAACACTAGGATGGGAGGAGTAGATAAAATGAACCAGCTGGTCACCATTTACAGAACAATGGTGAAGTCCAAGAAGTGGACACTAAGAATGATTTTTCATGCCTTCGATTTGGCGGTCTGTAACAGCTGGTTGGAGTACAAACGGGATATTGAGTTCTCCGTATTGAAAAAGTAAGAAATTCTTGATCTTTTACACTTTCGCATGAGCGTGGCAGAATGCTTAGTCAAACAAGGCAAACCTGTGTCAACACAAAAGAGGGGGCCCGGAAGGCCCCCATTGAGAGCATACCCTGAAGAGCCACCAGGAAAGCGAGCTCAGAGAGACGGCCTCTGCCAGAAGTCCAAACAGACCTTGTCGATCACATGCCTAACTTTGACGAGGCGAAGGTGGCGTCCAGGTGCAAGAAATCAAGATGCATTGGAAAAACTCATGTATTTTGCGATAAATGCAAAGTTCATCTTTGCTTCGTCCCAACCCGAAACTGCTTCCAGGATGTTCACCGAAAATGAGAAATTAATGTGAACTTCTTGCAATTGGGTAAAACTAATGCCAGCCTTTCCCATATGTTCCACAACACATGTCCCTTTGAGATCCTAAGAAGCATTGAAAGCCTTCCAATATTACTCATGAGACGTTTTGTCCATTGTAATGGACATTGCCAAAAATGCTCAAGAATTAGGAAAATATTGTTTTCGTTCAACTGATGTTCTATTTTGGAATAAAATAAATTCAGAAGTGCAAAATAATATTTTTTTTTTGATGGCGGAAAAAATTCAGGTCTGAAGGGGTTAAAACACTCGTCCCTACTGTGTATAAGCTTACGTATGCCAGTGGCACCAAACGAAGTGGCCTGGCACTGAAGCCTTTCGCGACAAGCTAATTATACACCTCTTTATCGGATGTGTGACGCTGACCGCCACGGGCGTTCTCGAAGGTCGGTGGAGAAGAGAGTCGCTTGGAGCGAGAATCGTGCTGTACGGTAGGTGTGGCAGAACCGTCCGACCCAGAGTGTTCATCGCCGGAGTCGTCCTCTGTGCTGGGGTTCTTATTCAGGAGCACTTTCTTGTCTGGCATAGGCATGAACTTAGGCCGACATAAGGAGGGTGATGCTGAAGGACCGGGAGAGGTAGTCTATCTACTGTATCGGGCGAGGTAAAAAAAAAAAATACAACGTGCCCGTTCTTTGAAATTCATTGGAGATTGCAGATAGCACGTTAAAAAATTTTTCAAGGACTTTTGCATGTCCTTTAGACGTCCTAGAATTCTTGTTCACTTTTCTTCAGCCGTTTTAGTACAGAAGCGAAAACGCGAAGGCAACTCGAGTTTTATTTTTGAGCGTGAAAACGTAACGGCGGAAGAGTAGTTGGAACGTATGAAGCGTACTTATCTCTGGCCAGAGCTCCTTTGCCTGTTCCCAAAAATCCAGCTCTTCGTGAAAGGATAGGGTGGGGCAGAATTTTGCAAGAATTTCCTGGAAAAGGATGAAAGAAATGTAAGCCTATCGATAAGAGATCGATTCACAAACTGCAAGAAATCGGGAGGAAGAGGAGTGGAAGACTAAAACTAGCCGGAACAAAAGGAAACTGCGTTCATGTGGAAGAAGTCATTGTTTCTCAAGATGATGATCCTGGGATGCAAAATTCCCATCTGCAAAGTACCAGACGTAGGGGCGAGTGAGAGATCTGCTTAGCGGATTCTGAAGAGGAAAAAACCCTTGATCCATCGAAGAAACACTTGAAGAATGATCAGCCCTGGTGAATGGGGTAGGTCCTTCGTCAGCGTCCACGTGCAGATGCAAAAATAAAATTACAGTTGCTTTTGTAAAATCACTCATTGAGGTAAACTTGAGATAAGCGGGCAAAATTTTGGGACACGACCAGGACCGAAGGAACGACTGCAGTTATACAGTATCTCATCTGGACTGCGTCTCGACACAGACAGAGGGAATACACCCGAGCCAGGGTTCTTTCTGTTGCAAGATGATTAGAATCCACGCGAGTTGCACCGAATGACTCCATAGATGATGAATGAATGACAAAATGACTGTATTCGACAGATGAGCATCACGTGAAGGAGGAGCATCATTCAAGGAGTGCGCATGATCGAAAAAAACACTGAGTACGAAGCAGTGCGTAAATGTCTCTTCGGGTAACCGTAATGAGATCGCCGATAAGTCCCCAGTAGTCGGCGAAAAATCGAGCATAAGCTGCATTCCATCGTAGGCAACTGCTTGGAAACATGAGCAAGAAAGAAAATGCACAAGCCATCTCGCTGCTGGGGTCTCACTCCAGCGAAGCCAAGGGATGGGGAAAATCGATAAATAGGGCTCCCTTCCACGACATTAATGTTTCACTCCTTTAGCTCGATCAATTTCGGTTTTATTCGCGCTTGAAACACTCAGTATTAATGAAGATCGAAGATGAATTCGAAGCAGTCGGTATTTCGTGCGCGATGGGAGTCTTGCGATTCCGTTCCAAATTTTTCGTTCCTGGCCGTAACTGAAGATGGAACTACGGATGGTTCGATTAACGGACGAAAAGAAGGATATGGACACCCTCATTCACTCAGTAGTTCTCGTGAAATCGAAACGACACACGTACTGGAACCGACATGGGGACGGGAACCGGGACTTCGAAGTCATCACGATCCGCACGGCGATCGTCACTCGGAATCCGTGATCCTCGACTTTTCGAAGAAATCTCCGTGCCCGTTAAGGAAGGTTCGATGGGGACGGATTTCGTCATCGTCCCTCGGGTGTATTTCACTGGAAAGTGGAAACCACAGAGAAAGGGAGTCGGGCCGTGACGCAGTCACGTGTGCGGGGAGATCTCAGGGCACGTATGGATTTCCTTCAGAGCAACGATCTCGGCCTCGAGATCCTCCTCTTGACCTTGAGGGAGAGAGAGGAAGGTGGCGGAGGTGGTGGTGGTGCACCCGTTCATGGAATATTCCTGACGAGCGCGATTCGAGGAGGATCTTCGTTCGGATCGAAGACGAAGGATTCTCTTGGAGATCGTCTCTCGGACCGCCGCATTCATGAAGCAATACAACAAGGACACCAGGAATCCCTAGACGTCCGGAATTTCTCCATGTAGGGTGGAGGAGATCGTAACGGATGGAGAGTAAAGGAAGGGTTACCTGGGAAGAATAGAGGGTGGCATTGATGATGTAATAGGCGTGCACGGTTTCCGTCTCGCCCCTCGGGTGGTGGAAAAATAACAAATTGGTGAGGCCCAGGAGGAACCAAAGCAACAGCGTCGCCTTAATCGTCTTCCTTGAATGGGATCCAGGCGAGAAAACGACAAAAAAAAACAACAAAATCTTCATGTTTCACTCTCTCTCTTCTTCGTTCAGACGGTCGAGTTCGTACCTGATTTGGGCAGACTCGCTGCTCTCGACCAGTTTCTTGACCAAGATGTAAACGATATGGGCCAAGAAATACACGTTCGCCTGTCATCACCAATTCGGGAGAGGGACAGAGAAATGTAACATTTCACCATGAAATTCCCAAGGTGAGATGGGGGGGGGGAGAAAAAGAAAAGTTCATGATTCACTCCTCCTTACACTGATTTTCAGAAGCGTTAAATTCACAGGATTAGGATTGATAGTTGCAGGGATGCCCTTTTCCATTAGGTGCGATGATGGCACCCCTGCGTTGAACATCCCTACAAAACGATACGAGAGGGGATCTATCACAACGATGGAATTATCAGGAAGCACTGGTATCGTTCGTTCTTTCATCCTTTTCTCACGCATCACTACGCCCGTATGGCGACGGTCGAAGCTGGCATCCGACGAGGTCTCATTGGAAACCGCGTGCTTTTCAAAAGGCACGCACACACAACCCTAAGCGATATTTAAAAAAATAATACAAACATGGAAAAGCCCTGGTGAAGGTAGATAAAGAACCCAATAATTGCGAGTTTCATGCCTTTGATAAGTCGATCCTGAATTGTGAACGATGAGAACTGGCATGATATTCGATGTCCCGAAGCTTCGACGAACAATTCGATTTTCTAAGTAAAAGTTGCCCGCTCGACATTTCGTGCCTTTGGGTAAAAATGAATTTGCCTTCCATGAATTTCGCTCTCCATTGTACGAAGCATCTAAAGCAGTGGTCGGCAACTGGCGGCCCGCGGGCCAGATCCGGTCCACAGAAGCTCTTCCTCTGGCCCACGAAGACCCAGCACATCGTACATTATGGTCTGACAGTCGCCGTTCGGCTGGACATTTGACATTAGACATTCATCAAAATTAAAATTTTAATGAAACTTGATGGGTGTTGGCCTGCGAACGTGCAGCATTTTTTTATCCGGCCCCCCCTGAAATTCAGTTGCCGACCACTGATCTAGAGGCTCTCCTTTCCTTCAGCGGGCCTTTCGGACTTCAGAAGATAAAATAATGAGCAGGATTTCGACCTTGTCCCGGTAAAACTTGCCCCAGCGGCTTTGCATGCGCACGAAGCCGCGGAGATCTTGACCGACGGAGCCATTCGACTCCGAATCGGAACACGGCTCGATGAAAAGAAAAAATTTCTCTCGGTTGGTAACTTTGTGCACGAAAGGCGGAGAAGAGAAAGGAGTAGGAGCAGAGGCGGAGGGTACGAAAATTTACAGGATGGTCGAACGGATTAGCACGATGATGATCGTGATGACGCCGGCGATGAAGGCGACTCCGAACGAGAAGCGAGAAAAGAATGCCACATATCGTTGCGGCACGGGAATGACGATCTGAACCGTATGAAAAACTGTCTCAAGAGGAGGAGGAGGAGTCGCTTTTGCAGGTCTGACGAGCTTGCTTACAAGGGGTTACAATCTGCCCCGGCCGCATATCTGCTCTTCGTATAGTGTATTCCTCCGACAGTCATTTAGAATGAAGGCAATTTCAGATATCGATGGGGAGTTTCAAAAGGCAGCACCTACGAGGCAGAGCGTTTGATCGGTGAGTGGAAACTGGATCCCAGGAGGGCACGACCGCGAGGGTGAGCTCGTGGCAAAAAAAAAAAAAAAAATAAAACACGCGCGAGCGTCAAGCCGAGAAGCGACAAGATAAGTAGAGGGGAAAACATACAGAAAAATCGGGGACTGTTGCAACGAGCTCGTCGTTCGCATCCGAGTTCGAGGCAGATCGCAGCAGTGAAGGCGAAGAGCTAAGGCTCAGTCGCTCGGCTAACTTCTCGGTCCAAAACGACGTACAGGAAAATGGTTTCCGAGTGCGAAAGCAGCCTTGTTTTCGTGAAGGTCTCCGCGCATGGAGGTATGAACTTAAAGGTTTTTCCATCCTCAAGAATGGAGGAAGCAGACGAAAGGGGTGGGTCGCTGGAGCAGAGTGAGATGCAGACGATGGAACGAATACCTAAAGTTGGATTTATACAGAGAGGTGAACGGTGCGGAAAGAGAAGGGCGGGATTTCATAAAACTTGAAAACGGAAATATTCCCTTTCCTTGGATTCGAGATGAAGCTGTCAAGAGGTGTCAATAAATGGAGCAACTCCGCTCTAGTACTAGCCTTGTACCGTGAACCTGCATTTTCAAAATTGGTGCCCGGCCCGTAGTGTGTCGACGCAATTCCGTGTCGTTCTTTGTTTCTTTTCCAAGCATTTCCTTTTTTTTTTTTAGTTATTCCTGCCGTCGTTATTTCGATCGGAATAAAGACGACAGGAACGACTGTAGACTTTTTTCATGTCGTCGCACTTCCAGTTTAAGGGGTTTTTTTTTTTAGTGTCATCGGATTCCGTGTCTGCGTTATTCTGGGCCTGCTATTTTTCCGTCGACCTAGTTCCGCGGAAGGCGGAAAACGGAAGCCAGCGGTTACCGTTAGCACAAAACGGAAGCCGCTGGCCGGAGGCGGACTCCGTCGACGGAAGGAGCGGAATTTCCGTTACGGCAAAAATAGTTGTCCGTCAGCGAACCAGTCCAGTTGGATCGCTGGAGACCGAATGGACGGAAAATTTTAAATATGGACTCGGAGAAGTATTGAATAGACAGTGGAAGTACGGAGGCATACGATTCCATACAAAAGGTATGGAGTCGTATCAAATCAGTAAATAGGGACTAAGTAATGAAGAAGAATCAGTAGGAAAATATCGGGAAAGAGTTTAGATGTTCGGGTGAGTCCAGGTCACTCCTCGCATGTAATTCTAGTCATTTGGTCCAACTGAGCTAAATTTAATGGGTATCTCATAAATAATGGCACTCTCAGTATTCATTAAATATCTGTCATTTCAAGCCCATCAGTCTTGATTATTTAATCATAAATTCTCTGTACAATTCTCTACAGCCCATATCATTTTATTTTCGTATGCTACCACCATCATTCCCTACGACAGCTCACAAACGAGACGTCAAAGATAATAAGAAAAATTATCACACAACTTCCTTCGGAATTTGCTTTACAGCCACTTTCGGTTCGTGAAGAGTCCCTTATCCAGTTTTGGAGGCCTACAAATAAGGGCGATCTGTTGGCGCTCGAGGGAGTACAGAGGAGGGCCACAAGAATGATTAAGGAGGTTAGGGGACTATCATACGAGAAGCGTTTAGAAGTGTTGAGACTGTACTCGCTCGAACGAAGGTTAAGGAGGGGCGATCTCATCCAGGCTTTCAAGATAATTAAAGGAATAGATAATGTCGAGTGTGGTAGGTTTTTCCAGTTTGATGACAGCAAGAGAACGAGAGGTAACCGACTTAAGTTGCGCAAACCGCAGGTGCGGCTCAGGTCGAGACAGGAATTCTTTACTTGCAGAGTGGTGAACGCGTGGAATGCGTTAGATGACGAAGTAGTGGCTGCCCCTTCTGTGACTATCTTTAAGAAGAAACTAGATGCTTTCATGGACAGGCAAAAAGGTGGGGGGCAATGTTGACGTAGGTACTAGACAGTAAGCAACTAGGATAGTAAAAAAAAAAAAAAAATACAAAAATACAAAAATACAAAAATATTTAGCTTTAAGAGGGTTAGGCCTACCCTAAAATTAAGGAACGCTCGACCTCGACACGTGATATCGAAATGGGCGAAATCGCCTCTTGATATCACTAACTCTCCTGACTCCTGACTATAATCCCTTCAGAAATAGGGTCTCGAGACTGTTTCTGCTCCATCTCTCCTGTTCGACCGAACGAGAGAAGCTCCAATTCGTTGTACTGGGAGGAAAGGAAATAAAAACTAAGCTTCTTAGAACATTGTCAGCCCTATAGCTCTCTGTGGAGCACGATCGTGCTCCACAGAGACATTTCTAAACAAGGCATGAGGTAATGGTATAGCTGGACAAAATGACTAGAAACTTAAAAAAAAAAGAAGGAAAAGCTGTCTAGACTCCCCGAACAGCCAAACTCTTTCCCTATCTTTCTCCAGACATTTTCTTTAACACTTCGTCCCTGTACTCTTTTGATCTCATATCGTATAGAAGTGGATGCTTATGTACTTCTGCGATGAATTGCTCCCAACGAATGGAGTCCATATTTTCCCGTCCGTTCGGTCGGTCTCCAGCGATCCAACTGGACTGGTTCGTTGATGGATGGTCATTTTTCCCATAACGGAAGTTCCGCTCCTTCCGTCGACGAAAGTCCGCCTCCGGCCAGCGGTTTCCTTTTTGTGCCGACGGTGACCGGTGGTTTCCGTTTTACGTTTTCCGCGCCGTTTTCCGCTCGGCATAAATCCACCTTAAATCCACCTCCAGGATGAGAACAGAACGAAGGTGAGTGGCAGGCAGGGCCGAGTGGAAAATACAGGCTGGGACTGGTAGGTCGTTCGGAGGGGAACCGTCATGATGCAACCCAAAGGCTTATCGGGACGAAGAGTCCCGATAAGGCTGAGTTCCGATAAGCCTGTGTTTGGGGAGTCCTGATCCCATGCAGGATCGAAATCGATCGAATCAAAACGAATTGCAATAAGCAACTATAGGTCATCCTGTTTTCTGTGACTATTCTGCTACTCCTGGGGCCCGTTCCTCGCCTCCACTAAACTTAAATCTAAATCTAAATCTAAATCTAAATCTTAGGCTAAATCTTAGTCTAAAGGGTCATGGACTTTTTGCTTTTAGACTGCTTTTTGACGGCTTTTAGATTTAGATTTAGATTTAAGTTTAGCAGAGGCGAGGAACAGGCCCCTGGTAGAAGATTTAAAATATTATTTTCAATACAGTATAGTGTTCTTTAAAGGAAAGAATAGTTTCATATGCGATGCGTATATCTTCTTGGCCGCATCGATTCAACCAAGGCTGTCCATAAAATCGAGTAAGCAGGATTGCTTTTCTTGAGATTTATTTACCTCGCGTTCTCGTTCGAGAAAGGAAGCATTTACATTTTTTTAAAGAGGGATTTCCTTGTTTTGTGGAGAAAAACTATCCATCGACAACGAATAAGTATTTTCATCCGTTGCACACGGTATCCCGAGGCCAGGTTCAACGATCAGACAGTTTCTCAGGTATGTTAGCACTTAAAAGGCGATAAGCTAGAAGGAAGTTTCGGTTCGGTTCGCTTTCCCTCTTGCAGATATACAGGGTGATTCAAAAGTCACCTGAATTTTTTTTGTTGCGTATATGGTATCAATCGATTAGTACACGGTCCTATGGGCTTCTTGATATTTCTTTTCAAGAAGGTTAGCCCGTAAATCAACAGAGGCACTATCCCCGTGTTGATAGTAACACCTGACAAGAGCAATGCGTCATTTCACACTCATTATCATGGTCCAATGGTATACCACAATGAGCCTAATGCGAGCGCTTTTCACGAAGGTGGCGAGTGGGTCATGTGACCACCTCCAATTTGTGCACACTGTGTTGCCCGTCATACACGTCACAAACTGACTCACAAAGCCATCGATGACGTAGGCTGCACCGATTTCAACTTCGTGTGACTTTTCAGCTACCCTCATGGCATCGTGAACTCGAACAACTTCCCTCGCACGGGCTGACGAAAATCCTGATGGTGTGCTCCGGAGCACTATCGCATGACGCCAAATGTACAGGTGTGATTTCATGGCAGACTTCATGATCGATCCCTACTTCTTTGAGGAACCAGATCCAGATGGATTTCACACTATGATCGTCAATGACCCATGCATCCTACATGTTTTGAACTTTCGCAATTCTCGAACTTCGAATCAGGCAGTGTATGGTACTCATCATCATACATCAAGATGGCACTCCTCCCCATACCCATCTTAAGGCGAAAACCTGTTCTTTGCAACCCTTCGGGGATAAAATCCTAAGCTGACGTTTTATAACCCCCACTATCTCCAGATTTCAATCCTTCAGACTACTGGCTGTGGGTGCTTCTGGAATCGCTCGTTCACCATCATCCGACCACTCCCTGGAACTGAGCATATCATCTATCACTAAGTTCTGCACGTCCTCCGCGACGAAGTTTGCAGTGCCGTGTCATCCTTTCTATTGCGAATGGTGTCCCTTGCTGGAGCAGACGGTGGTCACTTTCGACATGTGTTATAGCACTCATCTGTTGCTCTCTTTACATCGTTCTAAAGCCGTTGTAATAGCCATGAAAAGTTACGCCAGTCACACCTTATTTCCCGCCGTTTCTTCCAAAGTATCTCTCGCCCCGCACTCATATTACACCAAACTCCTCAGAAGCTGACGACTCGATTGATACCATATAAGGCACCAAAAAGATTCAAGTGACTTTTGAATCACCCTGTAAATACCTGCAAGACCTTTTCGATATGTGACCGAAGCATCGAACACCATCGAGGGAAGCATGGCAACCCCACAGAGAAGCGTGAAAGGAATGAGAAGTTATGAAACGATCGAACGTCGAACGAGGATAACGCTTCCATTAGACCGAGGAAGATCCATAAAGATGAGGAACGATGGGACGAGTGAGGCATAGATAACGGAGGCGTCCGATCTCGTCGCCCCTATTTCCTTCCGAGTCGATGAGGAAAGCATAGCAGACTTATACCCTTTCGGAAAGAATGAAACATGCGCGCAAAAAAGGATGCCGATGCAAAATCCGATAGCGAAAGTACGGACGGAGGGCCATCGCCATCGGAGACCCATACCCCTACAGGCCCCGAAAGTCTCGGATGCCGTCTATGAAGTCCGGCCATCCACCTTCACGATCCGTACAACGACAATTCACAGACGAACGATTACTTTCCGGGCTGGTGTCTCTTGGGTGATTCGGGTTTCAATTCGCTCTCACGTTTACCAAATAGATCGTACGTGAAGCATCTGCGATCCGAAATAGTGATGGATGTCGCATCATCGGGGTCAACTTGGCGCATTCCAATGTACTATACGATACATACAGACGGTGTCGAGGGAAAAGGGTCGTCAGAAATGGAATGTGAGACGGGGCACCTGTCAGAGCTGCTCGACGAGAACATGCCACGACCCAAAACGATCTTGTCGAACCTGGTCCGGTTGTGAGAATCCTTTCAATGATTGTTGGGAAAAAGGAGGAGTATAGCGACAAGGAAAAGTATAGCGATACCCCCCAAAATACATACAGTGTATTTTTGGAGGGCTCCTTTGAGTATGGGAGCTTCGGCTAGATTCCATTTCGATTTGCCACCTTCCACGGAATTGTTTTTCTTTTCCCTCCAAGGGTGCAAAAACTTACGATGGCATCGTCCGGCGAGTAAAATCACATGAGGATATCGTGCCACATTTTTACAAAAAGTGTAAACCGATGCTCGGTCGTCATCGCGGATACACCGTAATGAGGCTCTTTTGTTCACACAGAACGACTCATCGGTCACTCGCAGCACTTGGACCTGCTTTTATTGCGATTAAAATTTCACTACAGTTAGAAACTTCGGCAAAGAAAACAAAGTCCCTTCAAATAACTGCCCCTGTTTCTCTTAACGGAGAACCAAAAAGTCATCTTCTTGCAGCGTACAGCTTTCGAATGAGGCCACATTCGAGTGGGCTACTTTTTGAAGAGAACCGGCAAAAAATATCCTGTCTATATGCTTACTACCTAGACGTACTACGAAAGACGGTACGAACCTAATAGAGGTGCCGAATTTTTGAAGGGATAAGGGAGGGTGGGGATGTACCTAGGTATGAAAGTGAAAATGATTGTGTTCATGACGCGTACTGTACTTCTCGCGTCGTGTTTTTTCAGTCTCTCTTCTATACCTGTCGACGAGATTTCGGGTCGGCATCTACCTATTTTTCGTTATTCCGCATCGGCATTATTCTGGTATGTCGGGAAAATAGAGGATCTGGACTCGAATGAGTTACCCGAGGAAGGGGACGAGAGATACAGAGAACGTACGGTGAGGGAGAGAACCATGGGAAGGAGGAGGATCCACACTCTAGGATCCGTTGCGAATCCTGCCCAGCATCCAAAATCTACCTCATCGTCTTGCTCTGTCTCCTCTTCTTCGACTTCGTGAGAAGGTCCGTCGTCATCCCATATCACCATGGACACCATCCACGCGCAGACGCACGCTCCGGGCAAACCTGGAAGAATCAATTTTCCTGGTGGTTTGGCATTCCCTGTCATTTCGAGAAAGAGTGTGAAAGGGATTCATGGACCCAGAAGATTCCCATTGCTCCAGGGAGAAAGTAGATGCAAGCATACACTCTCGATGCCCATGCTTCCTGCATCTTCATCTTAGAGGTACCTCCGAAACGAGAACCGATCCTAGATGACGTCTTTGCTTGCTTTACTTTCTTGGCGCTCAGGTGCTCATGTACCCGAGTATCTACTCGTAGATAGGACGTGAGCATCCACATACCTATATCACATACTATCGGCTGTACAAAAGCAGTGGGGGAGCAAAATTTTGTTTTCATAACTAAATTTGAATATTAACATTCCACTTGATGAATTCTTAAAGCTACTCTGAAACACTCCCTTTCTCTGTGGTAGTTTAACTGCAACTTTTCAACAGATAGTATTCAATCAATTATCTCCTGTGCGAGCAAAAACCGAGTGAAATCTTCCCATGATATTTTTAATTTTCATATCAGAAACAGGTTGCATAAAATTTGAGCTTTGCCAATGAAATCGCTTTAACTTCATGAAAATCCTCTGGGATTCTTTGGTGCAATCATAATGATATTCTAAAACCCATGAAACTCTAGAATTTATATTGTAAGTCTTCATAAATCAAACCTCATCAGTGCGGTTGAGCAAATGTCCTCACGAGGATTTTTCCTCCTTATTCATTAATTTTCATTTCGTGTCCTTCGAGACAGTCATGCAGATAGATAGCCATACACACACAGAAAACGAGTTTCTTCTTGACGAAATTATGCTGATGATGACGTACTTAATCATAGTGGAAGGAGTGGTGATGAGGTACATGATTTCCATGCAACGAGGAAAATGTGAAGCAAACGTAGCGGTTGACACAAGAGAAAAGGAGAAAGACTACAGATGTCAGCCTTTCTTACACGTCTGCATCATTTAGCACTTAAAAGGAATGCATGAGTAAATATGATTATTGGCATCATGCGTAGGGGATTAAGTAGCAGGGAAGAAACAGGATGAGTGGGACAGACAATGAGACGGTAGGAGACATTGCCACCGAAGGCATAGCTCTGTGATGATGACGACGACCGACATCGTGTACCTCGCTCTCGCGTGTCCCGGTATATCGTACCAGCCAGGCGTATATGCACCCTAAAGGCCTCGAACGATGCACTCCGTGCCATGATCACGTATTGCGATATGTTGCGAGAAATTGGCAAATCCAAAAATGTCAACAGCCTAATTGAAACGATCTCTGAAATGTGCCTCCTTAAATTTTTTTTTGGGGGGGAAAGAAAAAATGACTCATTGGGCAAAAACACTTTTCATTTAAGCAGGTTAATCGCTTATTTTAAAACTTTAAATGAGGCGAGTTTATTTTACTTCATTAGTTTTTGTATCTTAATTAGGGAAAAATGTGAAATTGTTTAAATTCAACATTTTAACGACTCAACCCCAAAAATTCAACATTGAGAAATTGAGACTAAAAAGGACCTATGACTTCTACGTACATAAGTATGTTTTCGAAACCGCTTATCTCAACTTAATGGGGTCGCGGTTCGAGCAGACCAAGGAGCAACTTCAGTGTTGGCGAATCCTGCATAACGGATCCAATTTCGGCAGGTGGTGTACTGAGCGTGGCAAAATATTCACAATGTAGTCCGACCACCTTTCACGAAGCCTATCGACTGGACTTCTGCCGGTCATTTTAGATCGTAACCCATGTAATACAGTATGTTGATGGAACGTTTTCGAAATATTGCCAATGTAGCAAGTTGATGAACAACATTGATAAAACATTGCTTCAACGTTTTTCACTTTCGAGCACTTGGAAAGCTGCTCGACATTTCTACGAATGTTCGAATGTTATTGCAACATTTGCCATCAATATCGAAAGAATGTTGACACTGTTGACATTGACAACATAGTGACAACATTCAACTGATGCAACTTGCACTTAGAAGCTTTAAGGAATTGTAAAGTTGTCCTCCAGGTCACAAGATGGAGGCGTAGGTCTCACTTTCCGAACAGTACACAAACTTCTCCCTTTCACTGGAATCATCCTTCACAGGAGTGTTTAATACCTCGCCTCGCCTAGTCTCATTACAGGAATCAATGAACACGGTCACTTCATCGTTTGCTATCCCCATATTCCAGGCAGATTCATGGAGCCCAGACCAATCATATTCCCCTTAAGAATCCATTCCAATGACATTACAAGCTAACTCAACGTTTTCTCTCCTTTGCTTAAGATCTTAATCATGACCTCAAGAGTGTCTTTTTATATTTAACTTTTCAGAGGAAGTTTTGCATATAATACTCAATTTTAAACCAATTCTCACCACCTGGATTTTCAGATTAATACTGTAGAATGAGAGCAGTTCTCTAAGGAAATTAGAACGGTTCATCATTTTCTGACATGATCATGCCTGAAATAATCATATTTGAAATTTAAAAAGTAGTTATTGAAAGTCAATGTTTTTGTAAAAATCGCAAAAAAATATTAAAGAAATGTGAAAGGCAAGATTTTAAACGTGGTACCAACTTCCTAAACCTTGAATCACTTCACATCGAATGACGAATCAAAACCCAATGCAAATAGTCAGAGATATGAATCTGAATGAAAACAAGGCTCCGGCCACAAAATATACGTCATCCCATTTTTTTTTTTAGCTCAGTGTGATAATTTTATGAGCTCAGGACCACGATAGCAGGCGAGGTGGATGGGAGAGGATGGAGGACCACCCAGATCTCCCTCCGTACGAATTCCAAATTGCTGAGTCACGATTCTCCTCAACGAAAAAAAATTAGCCACTTGAAAGATGTCAGTAAGTGGCCGCATCTAGACGTCTCGTGCACCCCGAGCAAAACGTGCAAGGAACGCGGAAGAAATGCAGAAGATGTGTGGACTTTTCTCAGATTCTCGGAAGATGCAACCGTGCAAGTTTCACGGACGAATCGATGATGGTGCAAACGAGGAGAGAAGGGAACGGAAACGGAAGATTTTTAGAAAGATCGAAGAGAAGACGGGAGAGAGAGACGTACCCCATCCGATGGCTTGATAGAGGCGATGAGGGACCCGGGAATCGAAGACGCTTGCAACCAATCGGCTGTACAGATGAAGACCCTCCACGAACATCCACTCGATGCTCGATATGGAGAAATAAATCACGAGGGTCTTGAGGATCTTGCAAAGCTCCTTCCGGAAAGGAAGAGAACGACCATTAACTTCTCTATCCGAACGCAACGTTGGGGCTACAAACAGATCCATCCGTGAATTATCGCAGTATCACTAGTACATCCACTCGATGATCCATGCACGATCGAGTCCATTCATTCTTCACCGATTCCGAAAGGAGCGAGTACAACCGAGGAACTAGGAGCGGAGTCTTCGTTTCACCTCTTCCTCGGGTATTTCTAACTTCTAACCGGCGGCTTAAAACGCAGTTACATTTATTTCAAATTTAAATGGTTTTTAACACGTTAAATGCAAACTTGCCATGCCAAGGTGACTTGTAGCCTTCGTCGTAATCATTCAGAGAGTACCATAATACAACCGTCATTGTTGAGTTTAGAGAATAGCGATTTTGCAGGCAATTCTTTTACATTTCTTCTGACTTGGTTCGTATGCAGCGAACTCATGCTTGAGTACTAGTTTCTTGAGCGTCTAATTTTTGTCTAAAACTGGGCCTAATATTTAAGAAATTACCGTGCGAGTTGTTACGTACACCGATGCACGCATCCATCATTTGTTTTAGGGCTCATTCTAGATTAAAGTGGGCACGAGCGTTAGGTGCCTTATCTATCGATTCCGGCAACCACGAGAGGGGAGTTATGATCGATGATCGCATGTGTATGGAGAGATAATTCTCGGTTGATTCGATTCAAAGACCCGGAACTCCATCGATCCGCGAGGACCGACATCTTACGAATATGAAACCATGACATGGAACGAAGTGGATGATGGATTCTGGCGACTGGAGTTCCCACCAAAGCAAAGAGACCGAGAGTTTCCTTTCCTTTAGTTTTTACGAGCCGCTCGAGAACGAGTCGTCGCGAATCGCACTCGGCGTAGTTGAAGAGGGTCGTCTCGAGCCCGATGACGGCTGAGGACCGCTTCCGTTTCTCGTGCAAATTCCAATCAATTTTTGAATTCGGGTGCTCCGGAACTGACGGTCGCGACTGTGATTCGTGTTCCAACGCGAACTTTACTCCTTTGGGGCAGCACAGTTTCTTCGAAGGTGAAATAAGTACAGAGGCATTCCAGCTCAAGTGATCAAGGGGTGGTTGCGCTTCAGACTCCGATTTGCTTGAAAAAATTATTGCCAGCATGCAATAATTTTTTCAAGCAAATCGGAGTCTGAAACCCAACGAATGTGACGAATATTTGACCATTTGAGCTGGAACGCCTCTACTGTACACTGTTGGCAGAAAGGGTTCAGAGTTTAGCCTAAGTGAAGGATTAACCTATAAAAAAAACCGGTTAGATGACTGTGAATCACCATTTAAAAGGGCTAATTGGATGCTTATCTTAAATGCGATGATATAAATTCTTTGCCATTTTCGATTGAGAGGGTTAAACATTTAACTAGGAGAGTTTTATGTATCTTGTGCGTGGATAAATGAGTATCCATGAGAACAGGTATAAACATTCATCCCTTCAGAGGTTACATATATGAAACTCTGAATGGGAAATTGTTTTTCGATGAAAAATAAATAATTTCTCTTACTCCAGAGGAAAAAGTTAATATTTAAGTGGTCGTCTTATTTAAAAGCGAGGGAAAGTAGTACATGTACAAGGTGGGCCATATGTATCAGGTCGTGGACTGTCATTGATCTGATATGTGCATATGCTCTTAACGACATAGGATTCAAGACCCACCCTAGAGATGAGCCAGTTTCTCACTTTCGTAAAACCTTCGAAGACTATCTTCAACGAATGCAAATAGGGTCCCTGCGTATGATACCAATTATCAACTATCTCAGAAAATTTTTCAAATAGACCATCAAGAAAAGGAATAAATATAGATATATCCTTTCTGAGGCTGCCTATTCATCCCAAATGAGATAGTTCTTCATAGGAATCGGATATTACCGAACAGAGTTCAGGTTTTAACCTTTTCAGGGTTAAACGACAGGAAAGGTATAGATGAGGGTGAAACACCATTTGCAAAGCTTGTTTGTGTAATGTAAAGTTCCTTATGGACCACTAGATGGTGTTTTGGTGCTACCGTTTCCCACAGTACATAGATTAGCCATTCCCTCTTTCCTGGGAATCCCCCTCACAGGTATGTTATGTCATTTCGTCCTGTGTTTCACCTTGCCTCACTATAGGTAGTAATAAACGCGAACCCTTCCTCATTCGTTACTCCCATATTCGAGGCAGACTCCAGGATCTTAGACCAAAAAAAGCTTGTCTTCCCTAACAGTACCCCCGACCTAAAGACAAAAAAAATGAACTTCATACCCATGGAACAATGAAATCCAATAAAATGGATAAGTGTTCCCTTTCCTAAGTAATCCATTCCTAACTTATTCCGCCTGACGACTAGGTAAACAAATGGGGAGTGATGTCTAGGATACCCTAAAGGGCTGGTCTCTCACCTTCATGATTACATGCATGCCAGGAAGCTTACATATTAATCCGGGTCGGTTTATTTAAAGGAATTTTAATTTAACCTATCAGAAAGGCTAAATATCTAACCCACAAGGGATAAATATGAGCTGCAGTTGAAACACCCTTTAGGAGATAAAAGCTGAATCATTTTTGCTAACAGTGTACGTGGGTACATTTTCACTGAACTTCGGGAAACGGTGGATTCCCATAACAATTGGGGGGGGGGGGGAATGCGATCGCTTCCGACTTCGCACGAACGTGCGCGAGGGGACCGTTCTCTAGTGCCATGTGACGTCGGGGTCTGGTGAGAGGTCGAAATCCGAGTCCGCTCATCGCCCGCTCATCCTTGATCTCTTCTAGTGTCTGAGTGTACTTAGTGCGCGACTTCGCAGACTTCGTTTCGTGTCGAGAGTTCAACTCATAATTCCTGCTCTTACATATCTTAAGTGTCGAATGTGACGTCCAGAGAAATATACTTGACAAGCAAAAATATATGGAAGAATTTCAAATGAAACCCGGAAAAGCGCGTTTTTTTCTTTAAAGATGAATATTAGTTCAATGCGCAATTTTATGTTTTGACGGTTAGAACCCACGAGCTGCACCCCTGATTACGCTCGTTGTTTGTTTCGATACCATAGTGACTTGAGCAGAGGCAGTAGAAAATGCCGGTCTTCTATCATCTAGCACGGATATACCCCTAAGTTGTATCCGCGTGCGAAGAAAGCGTCGTACATAACATTTCATGAAACCCAAGGACCTGAAACGCACCCAAAGCCGCATATTGTGAAAATGCAACGAGAAGGCATTCCCCTAACTCGGGTATGGTATACCTTGTGTACCGGTCGCATTTCACTTTACTTCCGCATGAAACATGCTTTCCCCTAAAATCTGACATCTGCCACAGCGACACATTTCACCTTCCTTGTCGCATTTGACTTTCTTATTACCACATATGAATTCGATAACCTACAGTATAGTGCTTCCCTCTTGGAATTTACAAGCTGTTCGAAATGGAGACGGACGAAGACGTCGTTCCTTCTTCACGGGACGTTTTTTCAAGGCGACCGCCATTGCTAGGTGCTCCAAAAGTAAACTTTCACCATCGGACAAAATAACTGCCGTATTTCACAAGGATTTGAAATGATATATTTAAACGGCTTCCAAAAAGATCACAATTAAAGCTTAAATTCGTCTCGTTTGGTCCGTCAAGAATGGCGGTTCCCAACCTGTGGATTGTGAGAAGATTTGAGGTCGGTCATAAGAAGTTTCCCATTTAAAAAAAGCGCAATTAAATACGCACATTGGAGAGATTCCACCCGAAATCGATCGTTTTTGCAAAGCTTTCCGTGTTCCACTCTCCGAAACCATGAATACTGCAGATCAAGTCATCGAGTTTCTTTCATCGTAGTTTCATTGAAAAGTCCTCTCTGGACTGCGGTGGGTCACGAAATTTTTTTTAAATTGGTGGTATCGCCATATCAAAATAGCTTGTAAACTGCCGTTAAGGAGGACGGCGAATATTTGTTCACATCCTTGTGCATCCATATCCACTTCTCATCAGCCTCCGCTGATGAGAAGTGGATATGGATGCACAAGGATGGATGGATGGATGCCTTCTCTCGCGGAGAGGCACTCTATTCCATCTCACACTCTCATGTCTTTCGAGAGACTCTTCCGGACTCATATTGGATGGAGGATGAGGAAAGTGTACCTACAGTCCCCTTTGAAGGGATTCTTTTCCTTTGTCTTTAATTCCCTTCGTCCCCCTCTTCCCCGAGGCACCCCCTGCGGAAAGTAGAAAATCCTGGATTATGTTGCCTTCTTTCCTATCTTCGATCTCTCCACACCTCCATATCTTCGCCCCTTAGTGAGCTGCGTGCAAAAATCTTCATATGCAATGCTCAAAGTAAAACAGAAAACACAATAAAACTGGATTTTCAGATGTTGACGCACTTCCGAATGGAAATGGCGTCAACATCTGAAATCCTATTGCATCTAGAAACATTACTGCTTATGCTACCCTCCCAAAATAAAGCATCAGTCGTGAAAAATGCTCCTGACAGTGTAATTGAACGAAATAATGGTGACAAATGATGTATACACAAGGGGTGCCCAATAACTGCTCGGCCCGACCAAGATGTAATGATAGGTCAACAATAGTTTAATTACGAATTTTGAGTACAGGGTGGTCCACAATTGCCTCCCCAAAAGTAAAAGCTTATTGCTCAAGAAGTATACATCCGATTTCAATGATATATAACTCAAACGATAGCCTATTCAATATATAGGGTGGCCCAGAAGTAATAGGGCAGTTAGTGGTATAATCAGCAGTCATTACAATTTTTATTTGCAAAACTTAATATTTAGATACTAAACAAACAAAAACTAATTATAACAGTTGTTCACCGTGGCTACCGTGTCTCGTTTTATCGACCGGTTAAACTGCTCTCTAAAACGGCGGCACGTCTCACTCTTGTTTTCCGTTTTGTAAAATGTCTTCGCAATAAAGACACGCTCTTCGTTTGTGTACCGTTGGTAATTCTCTCAAGAATTCTCTCAATCATCTCTAGGTCTACTGTGGCGAAGGCATCTCTAATGGCCTGTTTCAGCATATCCGGGTTGTCATAGGTCCGCCGATGTATATCTTCGGATTCAGAAACCTCTTATGAATTGCCTTCATGATCTCATCAGGAACTGAGGCGTTTGGACCCAAACTGAAGATATTTCCAAATTTTCCCCGCACAAATTTGCTCTCTTCAATTTATCAAACCAAATGGCAATATTCGTCTTCTGCAGGATACTGAGGTCACCTACGACACAGACAATCCCTCGCGTTGCACTATAAACCCATTGCGAAATTGCGAATTTCAGAGGGTATTGTGATATTTTCAGGCTTTAGTCGCATGATATGGGTACTTTCATTTGTTATGGTGTAACTTTGTTCTATTTTTTTATGGAATGCTGAAATTTTCCACAGTAAAAATGTATTGAATCGGCTATCGTTTGAGTCATATATCATTGAAATCGGATGTATGCTTCCTAAGAAATGAGCTTTTACTTTTGGGGAGACAATTGTGGACCACCTTGTATAGTCGTCCTTCATCCATCGTCACCTTAGAATCTCTCTTGAACCATTCTTTCCACAATCTTTCCTACTGTATTGCAGTTTCGTTCTTCATCGGAATGCCATCCTGAATTCTCGCGCATGTGTCCCTTGAAACGTGGAAAAACTCTAAGTCCAGTACCAGGTTGGATGAACCTGTGCCGTGGAGAACGACCTTTGAAGCATCGGTTATAGCTGACGCATTTTCGCACACGCTCCATTCACCAACTTTCCCTACTTTCCGTCTGCTGCAAACTATCAATGGACGAGTTCCTTTCGACGAACGACAAGGTGACTTCTCGAAAGCCTCGGCTCAATTTGAAAACAAGCTGAAGATGCGTGCAAACGAAACGATGAGGTGGTTTTTGAAAGGTGGAGACTCTCCTGGGACCGAACGTCACCCTTCATCAGTGGCGTAGCTACTGAATGTGCAGGCGGTGCGACTGCACCGTGGCCCACGGGCAAGAGGGGCCCAGACGCCGAGCTACGAAGAGGGGGGGGGGGGGAGCCCCTTGACATCGGGACGAGGTGAGAGCCAGCAGCCGAAAAAGAAGGTCAAAAGAAATCAAAGGAATTGAACAAGACACTGCACAAAGACATCTCGCAACTGGGACGCCGCTTCGTGTGGTTAAATGAAGTGGTAGCCACTACCAATACCATTCACCCAGGGCTGGATTAAGGGAGGGGGGGCAAAGGGGGCTGATGCTCTGGGCCCCACTTTTCCAGGGGGCCCTCAAAGGAAATTAAACGCGTTAAGTATTTGCGTAAAGTAACTGGGAGAGGGGGGAGCCCAAGGATCCACTTGCCCCTCGCCTCACAACTTCTTGGTCCGGTCCTGCATTCACCCTTTCACTGGTGGCGGACCCAGGAGAGAAGGGGGGGGGGGGGAGACTGCCCCATCCTCTGAACAAGTTCAGTCTATTTTTATTATTTAGAAAGTACATAAATTAATGCTTATTATCATAGCTCCTATGAAATAGATATTCAGGGTTTTTACCCCAGACGAAAAATAAATAAGGCGATAGGACGGAGGGTAGTGGTAGATGAGGGGGTGAAGGCTGGGAACTAGAAAACAGGTCCTGCTTCCCTATGAAAAATTTATGTATTCGCCACTGCCTTTCACACTGACTTCAGCTACCGACGACGATTTATATGCTGCCGGAGAAAATCTAGCAAAAACAATATGACTCCCACATAATTCAATAGTAAGAAATTGGAGTGGGCTTCGTTTCATTCCTTGGCCCATGCCAACCACGCTACGCCACTGCCCTTCATCACTCCTCATCCCTCCCGCCTGGAGCAGGCCTTGAGTGACGTGAAAGGGAAGCGCGAACGAGACCGAGAAGGACGAAGGGTCGCCGTTTCTCTTGGCAAATAGGATATGAGCGTATGTCCCTCGGTAGCTTTTGTCTTCGCTTAGCGAAGGGGAGGACAGGGGTGTGAGAAAAGTGGAGGAGTCACGTGAAAGCGGGAAGGTGTATACGAATCCAGAAAATATCGTCAATTCCATCTCACTTGCCATGACTCTCTGACATTTCCCTATCGTCCTCTACGGATTCCACCGTTTTCCTTCTCTAATGGCATACGTCACGGTTTCTTCCCACCGCCTTAAATTTTCGGGAAACAGTAGACCAGAACGACGTGTAATATTAAAATCGGGAACGAATGAAAGGCATACGTAAGTAGTCGATGACTATTCGCGGGAAAACGACCCATATTCATCATTGGACAGTGACACCTAAGCGGGATTTGGATTTTTAGCTCATCAGGACGAAGAGGGGGAAATGCCGTTACCAAATACCAAACGAGGGTTGATAGCAGTGGCAGCTCGTGGACGAAAAAGCTGGAGAAACCAGCTCGTGATCTTTATAATAAACAAGAATTCATTGTACTGTAGTATCGATGGGGACATAAAGCACGAAAGGTGTGCTTAGGTCAATCGCCGAGAGAGGAACCGTTTAATACTTATAATTTATATTGCATCGAAATCACGCATAAGCAGAGCGGAAATTGAGACCTCCATTGAACACTCGAGTGAGAAGAGGCGCATCCGGCCGAGGATAAAAGTAGTGGTCTGACGACTTCCTCCCCTCGCACAACTTAGCATCTTGCACACCTAGCGAATATCATACTTATATCCCATAAGTCACTATACCATTTAAAACTGCAATATTTTCCAAACTGCAACAACCAGGTCACTTTTCTTAGCATTGATGGAATGAACGTTCTTTGGAATTTTTTTTCTTCACAATAATGACTTGGAATCAGACTCAAACAGAAATTGCTCCAAAAGCATGTCAGAAAGGTGTATGTATTTTGGGCGATTTATGGTACGCCTTGTTGAATCCTTTTTGGCAAAAATTCCAAAGCGGCATGTTTTCGCTCCAAATTCCAGACATACCTAAGAACAAAAAAAATTTAGCTTGCTTTCATTAATCGTTTAATTTATCATTTAATTTTCTTTCGCGGTCATGAGAAAAGGCTTCACATTTGGCGCTTGAGCAACGAAGGAAAGTTGCTACCTGGAAGGAGGTCTTCGAGAGTCCCATCACAGTCCAAAGGGAGTTTCGGCAATATTTTGGTCATGAGCCTCATGCCAGATGTATTGACATAGGCGGAGGGCATTTTCAAGCACTTTCAAACTTACCTCCATTTTTGATAATGATAATTCCAAATGACATGCTATCGTTCAGTTAATGTTACTTCTTTTTTGTCCCAACTGTTTGGTAGATGTGAATTTTTGAAATGGTATAGTGACTTATGGGACACCCTGTATATTGTGCCTTTTCATCCATGGCAACTGCGTGGACATAAATTGGCAATGCAAATTTGGATGATCGAAAAGCTCTCAATTTGAGACGAAGGAGCCTAAAGGCATGCTTGAACTTGCTACCTTGCTACTCGGGCGAAATGCAGACGAGGCGGACTTCCCTGATCTCTTTTTCTATTGCATTGTATTGATAGTGCTACGGGATACTTCTTTGCATCGTCTATGAGCCAGAGGAGGCCACCAGGCTCTGGCCGGGACGTACGCGGGAGTAAACTGTCAGAGACTGGACTTCGCTTGTTTGGCGGCAATTGAGAATGAACCTAATGATTATCAGAGATTTATTTCAATTATTTGCTATCCTAATGAATATTTTCAACTGTATGGGGAAGGGGTTCCTGAAAAATTTTGGGGAGGCCAGGGGCCTGTTCCTCGCCACTGCTAAACTTAAATCTAAATCTAAATCTAAAAGCAGTCTTAAGGAAAAAGTCTATTCTTCACCCTGACCCTTCAGACTAAGATTTAGCCTAAGATTTATATTTAGATTTATATTTAAGTTTAGCAGAGGCGAGGTACGGGCCCCGGGTCTCCCTTTCCCCCCCTGACGAGCCGCCACTGGTTGATAGCATCAACGGGGAGGACTGGGTGAGCGTGTGACCCCCCCCTTATTTTTTTCTAGTCTCGATGGCAAATCGAGGAAGGAGAAACGTTCCTTTGTATGATTTCTCTTTGGAGTTTTGTCCCTGTTTTCTCGTGTAGGAAGGCGTGACTCACTTGGATTTCGAAGAAGCGGTGAAGAGAGAGGACGTCGAGGAGGATCATGCAGAGGGTATAATTGGCCAGGGCCAGGAACAGCTGCCGATGGATTCGGGTCCGATCGTTCTCCAGGCTCCTATCGTGCACGACCCATCGACCTCACGAGCGAGCAATACGAGGAGGATCGGAAGGAGAAAGGATCGACGTACTTGAAGTAGTGAAAGATGAAGATGGAGACGACGAGGGAAACGAAAGAGACGGGGCCGAGGGTGAAGCTGATGACGTTGATCGCTTTCATCACCTTCCTCGTCTGCAACACTCGAAAGACGAGCCGCGAGACCGTCCGTGATCCCTGACGTTCCCGCGAGTTTCCCCCCTCCCGAAACGAAGGCGATTCCGTCGCTCGAGTTTGCGACCGGCGAGCGACTGATCGTATGAAACCCAATAGGTATACCGAAAGAGATTCTCTAAGATCCTACCGTTCCTCACGGCTACATCTCTTTCGGCTGGAGCCGGATCTCTTCCCGCTCCCGAAAGGGATCGCAGTTCGTTCTTGGCGGAGGGACGAACTTTCGAAGGAAAATACCAGGTGAAACTTTGCCGTTCCGCTCGAGAAAACATTTCTCTACACCGAAAAGTACGTTTACTCTTCGCGGGTCGCACGCTGGGCCTTCGCGGTTCCAGTATCTCTGCACTAGTCCGATGAGAAATAGCATCCCACTCCCACAGATACTGTTCTTACTGGTTTTTTTTTTCCACACACGAAGACGAAAAGAAAGACAGATCCTTCCTACATTCCCGCGGAGCCTATTTCCAACTATTCCTCAGAGTCGTAAATGTAGAACATCTCTGATGTTTTTTTTTTTTTTTTTAGTGTGGCCGTCTCTTTTCGCCTTTAAAAATCGGAATCTCTCCGTCGCGAGGAGTCCTTTCCTTCCAACATCCTCGCGACTCTTTACGCAAAAGTAAGACCACGCTGGAAGGGGGAAGAGTGCCGTGCGAAGCGCCATCATCGCGGCACCTTTTCGTGCCATGCTTTTGGGGTCGATCGGTTCCGTCAAACCGTCGAACCACGCGGTAGCCATGCCGAAGCGTTTCTCTACTCCCAACTGCAGGAATCGTAGGGGACGTGCGGCCGACGTAAATTTTTACGAGTACGGACTCGCGAGGCAAGTGAGAAACGAAAACGCAGGCCTACGAGTGTGAACCGAACGGATGGGCCCAACTCTTCACTAACGTTACGTAGAACCAGGTCGAGACCTTCTGTATGCACGCTGTTATCGGTCTGGGCCAGACGCTCCCGGTTTCCATAGCCGATCGTACGTTATGCCTTTGACCGACCCAATGTTTGGACTACTTGTAAAGGGCCTAGCCAAATTCTGTCTGATAGATCTATAGTTCGAGAGTTATTCTAGATCCCTCTTGGTCCACAGATGGTTAGCCCGTTCATCCAGGCCTAACTTCTACGTTTTGGCATTCCTTCAGATCAAGACCTATACCTAAACCCTCTTTTCTTACCTACTTTGACCGAGCGAGTTGCCTTTCTTTGCAATTTCAATTCCAATTGATTCGCCTAAAATATGATCAATACCAAAGAATTAGTGCATGCACTCTCGAGAGCAGAAATTATGGGAATGGCAGAAAAGGAAAGGGAAAGGTGAATGTTGTGGGCAAAATCTGGGCTTCACTTGGTTCACAAGACTGGATGGGGAGTAGGTTTACTGCTCGATCACCAATGTTAAGGTCACAGGAGAGAGCTGAATCCAAGAGAGAGTCGCAGAAAGAAAATTTAGCTGTTCAAAGAGAAAGAAAGGGGATAGGATGAACTAAGAAAAATAAAACATCCAAGCAATCCAAAGGTGTGTTACATTATAAGTAATGTTATTTTCATGTTGAGATTTCTGATACCAATAGTAATGAAGATACTAGTATTAGATCGTTTCTGGAAAACCCCCCCCCCCCCAAAAAAAAAAACCCTGCCAGCTCGAGTCCAATATGTGAATCCATTTTCAGAGCAAGTCCAGAAGATTTCAATGTATTAGGGTTGGAAAGAAAGTCTTGCAACACTGTGCAAATTTTTCAAAATTTTATAACTTTATCGAAATGCAATTTCGGTCTACGATGTAACGACCATTGTCGTCTATGACGCGTTCCCAACGCACGGGTAACTGCTCGATGCCCTTTGCCCAGAACTCTGGCGATCGCGAAGCGAAGAAACGGCCGACGTCATCTTCGAGCCGCGCTCGATCGTCTCGTGCCTCGTCCCGCAGGTGATTCTCGAGGGCCCGGAACGAGTGATCGTCGGAAGGGGCCGAGTCCGGGGAATACGCTGGATGGGGTAAAACTTCCCGGCCCGGTTCCGAAATCGTCCGGCGAGTCGTCTTCGCAACACGCGGACGAGCGTCGTCGTGCAGAAGGAGAACTCTGTCGCGTTTGGGACGCTCTTTTCGAACGACGGCAGCCGACTTCCGAAGTCGAGCAACGTAGACGACGGCAGTCACGGTGGTACCGGTTGGCAGGAGCTCACGGTACGACGTTCCTTCCGAATCCCACCGACGGCAGAGAAGAACGACCTTCTCGTGGAACCCCGGTTTCGGTTCGTGTGGCGGCAATTCTCCTCGTGGAAGCCACTGACTCTTGCGCGTACGGTCGACGTCGAGGACCCAGCTTGGCGTTCGGCTTCGCGTTGAGGGCGTTCCGCAGGGCTTCGTCAGGAAGTGTTGCAAGACTTTCTTTCCAACCCAATACCTTCATGTTTTGCTCATTAACCTTTCGGCACTTATACAAGGTATGGCAAAAAAAAAATGACCAACGACTTTCAACCCAAAGATCTCCTCTCACAATAGTTATTTTTGCGAAATAAGTGAAAGTGAAAATGAAAATAAGTTAGACATTGAGAATGGACAAGAGCTCCTGCTGGTAGTGGAGTAGAGGACACACTCGAGCACCGTCCTTCCTGCTCACCAAGACCACGTCGAACTCCGCTTCCATTTCTCAGCGCTCGAGTGTGTCCTCCACTCCGCTATCAGCAGGAGCTCTTGTCCATTCTCAATGTCTAACTTATTTTCAATAATTGCTGATGATATTGCTTTGCCTCAACAAATTCGGATGAAATTTGATGTATCAGTTGGAAACATACCCATACATGCAAAGGGAAAGTTTCGCGAAAATAACTATTGTGAGAGGAGATCTTTGGGTTGAAAGTCGTTGGTCATTTTTTTTTGCCATATCCTGTACATGAGACAGCCAAAAGACACAATGACCCAGGAAGATGAGTCTAAGTACCTTATTTACTTGTATCAATTCTATAAGTTTTGTTCTTTGTCGGTTTGTTGTACGTAGTAGTACCTTATTACTACTTTCGGCACTAGAACAGTGCTTTAGACGACAAAAAGGAACTCCTCCACTGGTGAGACGAGCCTGGCAATATATAATTAATTGAAATCGGTCCAGTAAGTTTTTTTTCTTGATCAGGTGTTTTGGACATTCAAGCAAATTTTTTTTAGTCCTTTCAGTATTTAATACTTGAGACCCATCCAGTCCACCACCCTTGGTGTCTGGAGGCACTCTACTAGCGGAGCGAGACGAGTCCGGCGGCACCTCAAAATCCGTTTTCAAGTTTTTGCTCTGGGCCTGCAAGTTCAAATGCCAAAATACGGCTTCCAACCTCGTTTTTCCAGATCTAAGAAAGCACTTGCCCGTTAAAGGAGAAACTCCGTCGACTTGAAGTTCCGGATAGAGGCACGAAGTCTCAATGATACTAGGTGAATGTACGAGCGTGGACAGATGATGTCAGTGAGAAGTTTGTACGGGACGTACGGGAGGGGACGGTCTCAGACCCCAAAAAAACGGCGTCAAAAGTTCCCAGGGTTCACTTCTACGACCATCTAGACTAGTCAGAGTACATGCACGTCTATGTAACGACCGGAAACGGATTTTCTTCTCCGATCGTTGGAGGAGTGGAAAAACCAACACGGATGCGTCGTTTCCCCTCCCTCGTGTTTCTCCTCTCTTGATCCACGTTCCCAACCAGAAACACAAAAGGGGAAGAGACGAAGAGGGGTAGGGTCTCACTTGGAAGATGTGATTGGAGCAAGACGTGTAGCTGGATTTCTCCGCCCACGTCCCGTTCACCCGACACATTCGGTACGCCACGGCGTCTGCACACGGTCGCGTCAACGTCCATCTCCATCCGAGTGCACGAACGCGTACGAAACGAACACGGACAGACCTTCATCCGGCGGAGTGAAGAGGTCGGGATCGAACCAAGGTTGGATGACGATGCTGCAGAGGATCGCCGCCGTGTCTCCGTTCCGCGTCGGTGGCCAACACGTCAGTCCGTCCGACACCTGGGGGCAGTGCCCTTCCACTGCAACAGGCAGAACGCTCGAAGTCACCATTCGCTTCTCACACGCGGAGAAACGGTGCGAGAGATTCTCGGTAGGAGTGAAAAGCGGGAAAGAGTGAGTTCGACGATACGTCGGGGACGGGCACGGACGAAGGATAACACCCAGAATAGTTTTTTCCCCCTTTCACCCTCCGCATTCTTGTTCCCGTCCCGTGAAGATGGTCCCGAGCGACATACCATCGTCTGTTGCCAGCGACTCCACGTACGAGGTCTTCGCGGAGTCGTGCATCGTAGGGAAGATGCAGTTCGCCGGATGAACCGTCCGAAACGAGCACCGTTCGCGGACGAGCGAAGACCTCGTCCGTCGAGCATAGCGGCACGGTCCGTGCCGCTATGCACCTAGCGTCCCCGGAGGCAGGGGTGGCCCTAGCTATTTCGGCGCCCTGTGCAAAAAGACTCCCCATGCCGTCCCTACTCCCCGAAGGAAGAAGGGTCAATCCCTAGCCTCCGAAATGATGCCGAAACGGAAGGCATTTCCACTTTCTTAAGTAAAACTGAGGGTGGCATCAATTATTGCATCATACATTCAGTTACGTTTTGGCGCCCCTGGTGAATTTGCGCCCTGTGCGGGGGCACATCTGGCACATGCCTAAGGCCGGCCCTGCCCGGAGGAATTTCGCGGCAGACTTCGGAAATCTTCGCTTCCGAGTCTCGGACAGTTCGTGGCTGGACCCGAAACACCTTACTCTTAAACGTCCCCACGAGAGAAAATCCGACGGGTACAGATCCGGAGAAGGGTCAGGCGCATAGTACCGCCCTCATGAAAATGCAACGCCATTCAGCACGTGTCAATTGGGTGTTGAAACGGTGGTGGTAGGAGTGTGGTGAAGGAGTTATAGAGGGTGTCACTAGGAAGTGGGATGGGTGTTGGCACGGGGTGGATAGTGAGGGAGAGGAGTGGGGAGAGATGTTGGAAGTGTAGTAGAGACAGGCAGTTTCAGATGACGCTGAGGTGGGGATGAAATATATCTGATTGGAAAGAAAGTTCTCGGAATTTATTGAATATCCAGTACAATTTTTTTCCAGAGCATGCTAGAATGTTCTGCGTGTGTTTATAAGTAGGTCGTGTCCTTCGGCATACAACCGTATATTATTACAGCCCTGGTGCTCTCCAGCCATGAACCAGCCCTACCCTCTTACTAAGGAGCAAGTTCGCCTGCTTCTTCTTTATGACTTC